CAGAGATATCCATGTCAATATGGTTTGTGAAGAGATGGTCTGTCTTGTAGAATGCCCACCAGTGACTAGGAATAAACAGGATAGCAGTCTGAACTGTTTAGTCCTCCCAAAGTAATAGAACAAATTCGTGGGTATATCAAATATGTGCAATTTCTTTTCTCCTGCTGCTGTGGGTGGCCCTTGGAAGAAAACAGGCAGTTTGATCAGTTTAGATAAAATTATGTTCACTTAGAAATGAATTTCAGATGCGGTCTTTGTACTGCTTCACCTGTATAAAACATTTTATGCGGGCTTCGTCATAATTGCCTGAAGCTCACTCACTTTTCTGCCCAATGTAATGGCCTTGAGTGACATCATCTTCAGAATGAGACAGCATTTAAAGCATTCTGAAAGAATTTCAAAGGGGTGGAGGTGGGGGGTGGGGGTCCTCAGGCAAGAGTTGGTTCTTTGCTGGTGGACAATGGGGCATGAAGACACGTCGTATACACAGTTGTCCTGGTAGATGTCAAGCTGAGATTCCTGCAAGGTAGACCTTAATAGAGATGAAGGAGAAGCTTCCCTGCTTTGAGTGCAACAAGTAGTCAAGAGACTCTCCCTCCACCTGAAGAAGTGTGTTTGTGCCCGAAAGCTTGGAAAGAACAATTTTTCCAGTTATTTACTTAGTCTAATACAAGATATCACATCTACCCAAAGAACCTTGTCTACCTATGCACTTTGACGAACATAGCTACAACCAACAACCCTGTAAGTCAGAGGTTCCCAACCACCGGGTGACAGCCAGGTACCGGGCTGTGAAGGATTGACTGCCAGGTCATGGCATGAGCTCCCTGCTTGAACCCTCATCTGTCCACCCGGGCGAACAGCTTCCACTGCCAGTAGTCATGTGCAGGGGTAAAGCTGGGCGGCAGGGCAGCCCTGGGAGGAAGGCAGCTGGCTCTGTGCACCCCACCCTGCTTTTGTGTGGGTCTGCAGTATAAAAAAAGTTGGGAACCACTGCTATACGTAGTCAAAAAATTTTTATATCAAAGCCTAGATAAATATTGGGTTGCCTGTATTAAGAATTCAATTTAGAGAAAACACTTTAGAAATAAATGTTTTCCTGCTATACATCAGTATTTTAAAAGGATATCATGGTACTCATGTAGTCAACCACCATACTATCAGATGAAGTGACATTCACCCTGAATAGAGTATCTGACCATGGTGTACTAAGATCTGATCCAAGTACGTATAACAGGAGTTGGATCAGAGACTGAATCAATATCTGTGGGTAGACCTGTCATTCAACAACAGTCTTGTCTAATACAGATACCCAAAAAACACAGTCATCTTTATTTTTTTTTCATCTTGTAATCAACCTAGAAATCAGAGGATTCAGTAAGAATTAATATCAATATAGAAAGCAAACAGCTATAATAATCCTGAGCCCTTGCCCTCTCTGGAACAAAAGATTTGGTGTTGACTTTGGTGATGAACAGATCTGTTATAAAGCTTGCCAAAGCAAGAAGATCAGTTCTATGACAGACTTTCAGAGTGATCACTTCTGGGTTGCTGCTAACTTCTGAAAAGTGAAAACTTATTGGAGTTATTCCACTTTGGATACATTGGGCACGTCCCAACAAGTGTGCACATGCAGGGGCACACATTTTTTCTCCTGGTGTCAAAGAAACCCACCATGCTGCTAATTAGCAATGCAGCAAATGGGTATACATGCACTGTGTGTGGTTTGCAGCACCTCAAACAGGTTTGAGGTGCCACAAATCATGCATGCGCACTCATCAGGACACACCCATTATGCCCAGACCACAGTGGCTTCCAGACAAAGTAGAGATAAGCATGCAGTTCCTTGCTTACGTTAAAATGCACTGTATTCCCCAAAGAGGTCAATGTGACCTATGCGGCATACACTAGTGGTAATGGTTTGATTCAAGCTGGCTGACCCAATTCTACTCCCCAGCCATTTGGCATGGAGTGCTCACTCTCAAATTTCTCTCCTTGAAGTTGCATTCCAAAGACAAAGGAAGAGGAATCTCAACACCAGGGAGAAATCCATTGCCAATGAGATAGAGTGGCACATATCCTTTTTAAGAGTTCCCTCTTCGGTACTGAACATGCATTGGGAGAAGATATCGATTTTGCCAAGTCAAAGTCATACAAAGCCTGCATAGAGCCCATAGCACTTTTTCTCCTGCAGCCATATTAATTTTTTTTAAATTTTGGTTTATATTTGTTTTATCTTTTGATTTATCATACATAATAAGCAAGAACTGAGGTAAAATCACAGCTGTTCCACCCATTATGTACTAACTGCAAACATGAGGTGGCATGCAAAGACCCAACAGCCATTGCTGTTAAAAAGCCTCCAACATTATGAGCACGTGACCTCAACACTGATGCCTGCTGAGAGAAGAAACATGAATTTTCACTCACCATCTCATAACCCCTGTTTTATGTTCTTGCCATTTTCACTCTTCCAAGAGAAAAAGGGGAAGAGAATATATGTAGTCATACATCTGCCACACATCATTCTGCAATGAGACTTCAATATTACCTCTTTTTAATGATTGTATTGTTCCACCTGTTAGGGTTTGTTTAGGAAGAAAGATGCAGCTGCTTGTAGTAAATAACATATTATAATAAATGGTAATACACAGTGACAGGGGCTAAATTTAAAAGAAAAAGGGCCAGGTTTGCAAAGTGTGAAGTAATGATTCTAAGAATACCAAAAGAATGAGTCTGCAAAATGGTACCTAAGCAAATTGCTCCAACTTCTCAACTTTTTCACCGATGGAAGCTTATCTTGAATCAGCATCCTGATAAAGGCACAACAGCACAAACACAGCATGCTATGCATTTAATTTCTACTCTCTAAAATCTTTTTTTGTGAAAGTAAATATTCAGAGAAACCTCCTGTCATCCTCATTATGTGCATGAACAGCAAGGACCTGGAAAATGCATTTCACTATGTAACCCTCCATAGCCTTAAGAATATAATGTTATTGAGGTCAGAATGAGGTTAGATGGAAATGTTTGATTGGAGCCAAGAAGGATGCTAAAAAAAGTATTTAATCATACTTTTTGTGTGCATTAATAACCAACTGACTATTTATACCTAACCTGACTAAAACTAAAAATCGAGATTAAAGTGAAAAATTATTTGGTTAGCTTACTTTTTACATTTTGGTTAGCTTGTTTTTGTACCGTTTCCCCTCTGTAGTCAGAAGGTCATTTTTCTCCTCTTTTTAGAAGTCTTCCACACAACCGGGGAAGATTTTTTTTTTAAACAGGAAAATATGGCTGTAACCCATAAAAATGATCAGAACCTTTCATAGTATCCCAAAATTGCTTGTAATTCCAATGTTAAAAATAACTACATTCCAGTTTACTTTTCGGTCAGAAATTAGAAATATCTTAGAATCAATACATAGTGGTTTTGTTACTATTTTCTGGTGTATGACATGAGTTTAAACAATTAAGATGGAAGAAGAAAATTGTTAAATATATATAGAGGAGTTAAAATAACAACTCAGACTAAATATAATAACTGCCTTATAATGATAAACAGAGTAAACATTAAGGACAACAAAATACTATTTTCCTTGATACAAGGAAACATCTCAGTCAAGCACACCTCTATGGCCCCAAACCTTAAATACTTGTCATTATGCATAGCATACTCATGCAAGCTGTACCATTGACCCTGTTATTTTACCCATATATAAGCATTTGCAGGACTGGGTCTTAGTCTGTACAGCTTTTAATGCAGTGAGGCCATGATCCTGAACCCTAGCAAGTACTGCAATAGTAAATATTGGGTTGGTGCAACAGAATAAAATTAGTCTGATTTCTAGCACTGAAATGTAATGCATTTTCAGCATTGTGGCTATTTAAAGCAGGGGTTGGGAGGAAAGCAGACAGATGCAAAGGAACACACAGATTGGGCAAAGCCATCTGTTCTGGATGTAAGTCATGCAAAAGGTAGGACCACAATTAAAGCTGAATGTGAGCAGGGATGGATTATGATCACAGAAGAAATTCTGAAAGATTAACAACATGTTGGCCTGAGAAGTTAATAAAAAATGGATACATAAGGAAAAATATACACAGTAGAATACAGATTTTTCATATCAGGAGGGTTCAGTTTGCCAAATTAAAAAAGAGCTGCTGCAGCTTTTACCTCAAAAGGCACAGCTTTTCTCTGATCAGGTGAAGCACTGATTTCAAAAGCAGAGCCCTTTGACATAAAGTCTTCAGTAAACAGGTGGTACATCTCCATAGTCCTGCACAGGTGTTTGCTGAGGTGGTCTATACACCAGGATACACTGCAAAGCCTCATCTTCGAAGAGGGGTCAAGAACCTGCCCCTGTGAAGAATCAAGGCTCTACTGTATTTGTGTTATGTATGTCAGAATGGTTCAGTACAAAAAGTGTCAGTCATGTTGATGCTTCCCTCATTTAAAAATATATGTATGTAATATACCTTTACTTTCACTTTTTGGTCCTGAAATCATATACTTGGTGGAGTCTTTTGTCCATACATTTTAAAGTGTTGTATTGAACAGGATTTGGAAAAGAGAAAAATAATAATACATTGTTTGAAAAAGTTACACACACAAACACACACATGCACAAGGACCTTTTGATAATGATACTGATTTTAGAAAGAGCATCTCATACAAAATACCAATTGCTGTAACAATTATTTGTAAAAACTGGTGTCTAAACATACAGCAAGGTAATCTGGTCCTTCTGTGTTGTAAACAAACAGAAGTAATCCATTCATTCGGTTTGTTCTAAACTGAAATGAGATCTCGAAATCCAGTCCACCGTGAAAAATATCTGATTGGAGTTCCAGGAACCCTTGAAAGACAAAAAGTAATCATATTTTTTTTCCTTTTAAACAAGAAAAATTAGATACTCAAAAGCAAAGAAAGTTACTAAATGGTACATTCATTTGTGAAATTCAGTTAGAAGCAGCTGAGTTGATGTCCAAGGACAGTGTCACTCAGCCTTGTAAGGCCACTTCTTCAGGTGGACCAAAAACCCAAGAAGGAAGCGAAGTGTGGCATGCTTCACTGCTATGATACAGTTTGATATTTTGTGCTGAATAGCAGAATGTGAGCCTTCCCCCTTTTTCAGGTGCAACTGGCACCTGCAAAATAATCCCCAGAAGTAAAGATATGAGCTGCTAACAATTTCACTTTTCACTGATTACAATTCATTTTCTGGGCACCAATTCCCCTTGTGACAACAGATGTCAATTTTTAGTCCAGCTGAAAATAATTTTGCAGTAACGTAACTAGGGTGGGGTGACCATGGTAGCAGCTCCAGGCACTGACTGGGAGGAGGTGGGGGCAGAGAACAGAGGACAGAAAAATATCAGCTGCCTCTGCAAAATCACTGCTGCTCCCATGCGTCTAGCTGTCCTGGGCACCCAACTGCTTTGTTACACCTCTGTAATTTTATACTTATCAACAGGGTCCTTAAAAAAAGTAGGACAACTGAAATATAAGGGATGTGAAAATTTCTGATTAAGAGTATATTTGATTCCTTATATAATATTGCATTCTACCTTTGCCAAGAAAATGTGCTCCTTCCATGAGGCCAGTGGGGCAGCCTTCCCAAGTCTGATAAACATTGTTTTGCTCTTCAGCATCCTGCCAATTTAAAGGTTCCCAGCTTTCATATGGATTGTGTGTTTTTTTCAAAAATATGTCACTCAGACACCCCACAAAACCTTTCCGGATAATTATCTTGGTTCCTGCAAAAAAAAAAAAAAAATCATTTATTAAACAAGATATGACAAATGAAATAGGGATAGTAATGAATATATAATAAATTATGAAATAGTAAATGTTTTACCTACCCACCCACACCAGTATATTGGTTTCTCAGGGTACATGTACATACAGACAGAATAATGTATATGACAAACAAGTACTATGCTAAATTTGTGTGCAGGTAGGTACCAGTAATAGTATTGCGGCAGCAGCCCACAAATCCCTGGTTTCCATCAGGATAAATTAGTTAATGCTGAACGCCATTGCTGATTAAGGTAGAATACTTTTAGTACCTGAGCTAGCTCATTTAAAGCTATTATGAGGTATGCACCATTTTTGTTTCAGAGGTCTGTTCCCTGAGCAAACCCAGACTCCAGTGCATGGCCCAGGCATTAGGGGCAGGCTAGAAGAATGGAGCAGCAGCTGAGGGTGTCATAGAGTGTAGCGCTTACAAGAGAAGCCTCATGAAATCAGGTCTGTTAAAAAGTTTTACCTTTAAAAATACTAAAGAAGAAAGGGGTGCAGTTACTGAAGGGGAAAAAAATTCTCTCACAGAAGCCAGTGATGGTGAACCTAGCCTAATATCCCACAGTCTGGATTTCATGAGCAGGAGAAGCAAAAACTCTACCCTTGATACATGGAACAGGATAGCTGTCACAAGTAAATTCTCATTTGGTCTCTCAGACATCCAGAAATACATGGTTGCTGGGCTATAACAAACCATGCCAGAATTTAAGGGACTGTATACGATCTTCTTCCCTGTTGAAGTCTACTCAGTAACAAAATCAGTTTTTACAGATGTTCCTCTCCTAAAAACTGCTTATAAGTTTTTATTCTGAATAGCTTGTTTGTACAGTACTCTTAATCTGCACAAGATATTAAGGCAGTCACCTTGGATGACTGAAGCAAGGCTAGGGAAATACGTTTTCTGTTTTCAGTGAACTGAAACAAAAACCCAGAAAGGAGCAGATTTTGTGTATACTAATTTCCTGGATGTGCTTGGGAGGGTTTGTTTTTGTTTCTGATCCTGGCTTATCACAGAAGGACACTTATGGGATAGTCACAGATTCTGCCACGCTTTCCTAGCCCATCCCCTTTCCGCTGCATTACTGATACCCATAAGAAATAAGGTTCCACCCTCTGGAGACACAGGAACCCTTTTGTGCCCTCCAGTTTTCCTGCTGCTCATTAAGCATAAGAGGCACATTAGGCTCAACTGCCAAGAAGCCCTCTGTAGCCATTGATCAGGGAGATGCATTGATTTTCTGTGCTATAATTAAATAAACCCTAAATATAATTCTCAATACGATGACATAAAGAAAGCCCTGGATTCTATCTACTCCGTATAGTTGGTAATTTGCTTCATGGTGCCCTAAGTTCTAAGTCTTTACCTCTCATAATGCTGAAATTAAAGACCTTATAGCTATTGCAAGACTGATATATTCTGTCTCCTGCCCTGGTCAAGTGTGACTACTTGTTACACCTGAGTTTGGCCAGCCCTTTCCTTACCATGCCAACTGGATAAATCATCGTTGTAACCTGGATAAATCATCATAGCTGTACCCTGTTAAGTTGGTGCTGCTTTTCACTCACCATTACTTTAGCTTAATTAAAGTTCTAAGTGATTCAGTTACTGTTTATATATATTTTAAATCCTTAGGAATCCTTATGATGTAAAATATATAATGCACTCATGTATTTTATACATATGAAGATGCCAGTGCATGAACCTGTACATGTATCTGTTACAAGCTATTAGTTATGAATAATGGTATAGGAAGTAATACTTTTTTCTTGTTGCTGGTGAATTTAGCCAAACAGCATTTTCTGTCATTGAAGATGCAAATGTAATGACTTTTGTGTGAGGATTTAGATCATATAAAACAAGCTGAGTGAAGTAATAAATACACTGGAGGGTAGGACTAGGATTCAGAGCCACCTAGACAAATTGGAGGATTGGACCAAAAGAAATCCCATGAAGTTCAATAAGAAGAAGTGCAAAGTCCTGCACTTAGGACAGAACAATTCCATGCACCGGTACAGATTGGGGGCTGACTGGCTGGGCAGCAGCTCTGTAGAAAAGGACTTGGGGGTTACAGTGGACAATAAGATGAATATGAGCCAATAGTGTGCCTTTGTTGCAAAGATGGCTAAGGGCATACTGAGCTGCATTGGTAGAGGTATTTCCAGCAGGTCAAGGGAAGTGATTATTCCCCTCTATTTAGCACTGGTGAGGTCACATCTGGAGTACCGTGTCTAGTTTTGGGCTCCCAACCACAGAAAGGATATGGACAAATTGGAGAGAGTCCAATGGAGGGCTACAAAAATGGTGAGGAGTCTGAGGCACATGACTTATGAGGAGAGGCTGAGGAAACTGAGTTTATTTAGTCCGAAGAAGAGAAGACTATGGGGGGATTTAATAACAACCGTCAACGACTTGAAGCGTGGTTAAACAGAGGATGGAGCTAGACTGTTCTCAGTGGTGAAAGATGACAGAATAAGAAGCAATGATCTCAAGATGCAGGAAGGGAAGTTTAGGGTAGATATTAGAAAAATGTTCTCACTAGAAGGGTTACCCACAGAGGGTGTGGAATCTCCCTTCACACCCTTAGCAGAGGTTTTAAAATCTTGGATAGACAAAACCTTAGCTGGGATGAGATAATTGGGGATGGCCCTGCTTTGAACAAGGGATTGAACTAGATGACCTCCTGAAGTGCCTTCCAACTCTAATTTCCCATGATTCAATGAGTCTATCAGTTATGTCAATTATTATGCATTTAAGTGCTGTCCTTAGGGTCCTAGCAAGCTGTTAGTACAGCCCTCAATGGTGCAAGGACTTAAATCAACTCCACAACAGTGGATTTCAGGGATGTCACATGAATGTCACAAATTTACTCACCTGTATCCTTTCTTAGGATAATGTAATCCTGTGGAAGTCCTCCAACAAAAACCCCTGTGTTTTCCCCAATAATGGTGCTGCCACTGGTAGCTAAGGAAGAACCTAAACAAGATAGTGTATGACTTACTATGCATTTTTCCAGTAAATCCTCAATTTAATAGAGGCACTGAAGTACACATTAAACAAAGGATTCAGAAGATACTATGCAAAGGGAAGCAAACAAGCAATAACCTGAATAGGAATGAAACTACTATAATGTTATGAAAATCAGTTGGTTACCTGAGTACTGCCCATCTACAATGATTTCTCCCAAATCCTGATTTCTTGTAGCAATGATATGGTGCCAGCTGTTATCATTGTATTGTCTTCCACTATCATTAGCTGGAGTAACTGTCACTGCAGATCCCTTTCAAGAAATTATAACAGAAGATACCTTGCTAGAATACTATGTAACAAAAATGTACTCATTTAGGTACTCTTGCAAATTTAATTTCAGAAACATGGCAAATCATCCTGTAATAGATGTAGATATAAATATAGAGATATATATAAAAGATTTGCAAAAGAATCTCTTCAGTCATGGTACAACTATGAATAAGACTTAATACCAGGCACCTTCATCCATTTCTTTTTAATGCCAATTTTAAAATTAGCTTCCTTAAGGACCAAGGAAGGATCCCATGTAGTTACTCCTAGCAGTTAATAAACCTAACCTAAATCTTAGATTTAAACACCCCTCTACAGCTCCACTAACTTCAGTGAGGTTATAGAGACAATTAGTGATGGCTTCATTTCATCCAGAATGTTTTAAGTTCTACTTCTATAATATTTCACGAGGAAGTTATCAAACGATTGTGTAACAGACTGTTTGAAATGAGTTTCAAAACTGGTTTGAGGGCCCTGGTCCTATGTCGCAAACCAACATTACATTTTATATTAACTGGGATCATAGTTTCGCATGTTCTAGCTATATAACATTCTCTACAAATACATTTGTTGGGCAGCCTGGAAGAGGCTTGCTCTGTCATTTTCCTTGTTGCACCTGCTCTTTCAGAATAAGAGAGGATGTCATTCTTCAGGACAGTCAGTCCCATACCTTTCAGGAAGGCCAACAATTTAAAAGGAAAAACTGGAAGATAAAAGTTTGAGACATTATGACTATGTAAGAGGTGCATGCAAAACTACATTTTAATATAATAACTTTTTTCCCAAACTATATTAAAATAATTTGGGAACACAGAAAGCTTTGAATGAAAAGAAGATTGGGACAAATTTAGAAAACTGACTGCCTAATGAGTAGGCAATTTTTTTCTAAAACTGCGAAGTCAGAGACAATTAACTGATCCATGTCACACTAAAAATAAAAGGAATTAAAAGCCACACATACACATTAATGCTGTAGGAATAGTAACTACATTATAGGGGCATTTGCTGAAGACTGATGTCTGACTGGCATTCAAGTCATCCAGTAATCACTCGAAGACACAGTCCAGGAGCTTTAATTACTCCTGATTTGTGGGGAGAAATGCTAGTTTCTCCAGGAACAAAAATCATCCTCAGTACAATTCACCTGCCAGGACAGAATATTCCTGTTTCCCAGGCAAAAAATTAACTGTGAAACATGATACTATGCAAGGGCAATAGCTCTTAATAGAGCAAAATAAGCTTTATAACTTCTTACACTGATTGAGGACAGGTTTCAGTAGCCTAAATTTCCAACATTTCTTCATTTAAAGAAACATTTGTTTTGTCTTAGTAACACTTTCAGGTCTTTTTAAAAGTAGTAACCAGTTCAGCACCATGCAGTGGTAAATAAAAAAACCAGCTCTGTAAGCCTCATTCACACCTCTTTTCTTACCTACTCTGTTTTAGTGACCTTATTATACTGATGACACACTCCTTTTTTTTCTTTAATATAATAAAACTGTTAACACAATCCTGCCAAAAATGACTACTTCAGCTTTGATGCTGCACTAGCCTAAAGGAATAAAGTTCTCTCTGTTCAAACTTTCTCAGAGGATTATTGGCCAGCATACAGAACTGTAGTGTAATACATGTTTTTATAGTTTATTTTTTAATTCAGTGCTGTCATTGTGCATCTTAGTCATGAGACTACACATTATGTATCTATGGTTACAAAAAGCAAATAATTTCCTATGAGCATATACAGGATGTTATCCGACACAAATCCATGTACCCTTCTTAAAGGAACCTGCATCACAGTATGCAGGCATGGTTTGTATACCATGATGATAACACAAATCCACATGCACTTACACGCTAACATCCATTTTTCCATATAGTCCTTTTATTGTCTTCTGTCCTATTTCAACATTTTAATATTTTACAAACACACATTTCATTATCGTAGTTTAATAATTAAAACCAGAACTGGTGTCATGCCCAATTAATGTGCCCTGGTAGCATGCCCATTAGTTTTTCCATTAGTGAATTCAACAATACTAATGGGATTACTAGCATGGGATGCTAATTGGGCGTGACATAAGAAACTGGCTTACTTCTTAGCATACCCTTGCTAATGATGAAATTAATGAGCATTTTATTAAATGCTGTCTCATCAAAGTGTACTTAGTTAGCGTTAAAATTATTACAAACGATGCCGCATTCTAAAGATCAGGTGTCTGAATAAGGGGTTCTTCATATTATGTTTGGCAGCATTCTATAGCATTAATATCCTTATACATCAGAAACTCCTTTGTTTGTAAGTAGTTCAGTCTGGGACAATACAACTGCATTTGCCAACCTTTGCTTAATTTTAGAGTTTGCATTCCACTTAAGGTTTCTATGCTCCATCTTCACCGGAGTGAACTGAAGGGCTCTGTGATCATATCTAAGCATTCCTCTGTAAAACAAGCCACTTCACATTTGGAAAAAAATAGTCAAATATACAGACTACGGCTGGATTAGTTGTGTGAACAATTGCCAAATTTTAATTTCCAACAGTTCCCAATAGCCAAAAAATGTCTGTGTATGCCAGTGTTGTTGAAGTCTTAAACTGATGGGCTAGATCCACAACTGGCACTTAACTCCAAAATTTATATTCTCAAAACTGCACTCAGCTACTGCTTAATCACAAAGGATCCTACATCCCCAGTTGACTACTTTTCCACCAGTGAATTTCTTTTCAGTGCCTAAATTTCTGACACTGGATGTGTGCAGTCACCCAAGCCTTGACAGTGCCGAAGAGGCCAGGTACTTAGCTTGGTCCTGCCATACCTGTCTAAGCTATGGGGCCCAAAGTTACAGGCAGTCTCAGAACATGTTTATCGGATCAGGCTATATACAAAGTACAGGCAGAGGAGGAAGTGACAGTGCCAATTTTAATGAAATAATCTAGTGGCTAGTGTGTGGGAGACACAAGAACATAAGTGATGTCACACTGGATCAAACCACGGGCCCAGCTGGGCCCCAGATGAGCAAAAGACAACAGAGAAAGCCAGTCAACCAAACAAGGACATTATGGAAGAGAGAGAGAGAGCAAAAAGGTGGTGTCGCGGTGGACGTAGTCTTTCTGGACTTTAGGAAGGCCTTTGACACTGTCTCTCACCCCATTCTCATTAAAAAACTGGGCAACTGTGGCATTGATGCCTGCACAGTCAGATGGGTCACAAATTGGTTAGAGGGCTGCACCCAGATAGTGATGGTGGATGGGTCATTTTCGACTTGGAGGGATGTGGGCAGTGGAGTCCCCCAGGGCTCGGACCCGCATTGTTCAACATCTTTATCAGCCACTTGGATGAGGGGGGGAAAAGCACCTTGTTCAAATTCATGGATGACACTAAGATGTGGGGAGAGGTGGGCACGCTAGAAGGGAGGGACAGGCTACAACTAGATCTGGACAGGTTACAGGGATGGGTGGATGAGAATAGAATGGGATTCAATACTGACAAGTACACCTAGGGAGAAAGAACCAGCAGCATACCTATAGGCTGGGGAACTCCCTTCTCATCAGCACAGAGGCAGAAAAGGATCTTGGAGTCATTATTGATTCCAAGATGAACATGGGCCGCCAATGTGAGAACGCGGTCAGTAAGGCTAACTGCACCTTGTCATGCATCCGCAGATGCATCATGAGCAGGTCCAAGGAGGTGATCCTCCCCCTCTATGTGACATTGGTCAGGCCACAGTTGGAGTACTGTATCCAGTTCTGGTCACCGCACTTCAGGAGGGATGTGGACAGCATCGAGAGGGTCCAGAGGAGGACCACTTGCATGGTCAGGGGGCAGCAGGGCAGGCCCCATGAGGAAAGACTACGGGACCTGAACCTGTTCAGCCTCCACAAGAGATGGCTGAGGGGATCTGGTGGCCATCTATAAACTTACCAGGGAGAACCATCAGGGAATGGGAGAGGTCCTGTTCCCCCGCGCACTACCTGGACTAACTAGGAATAACGGCCACAAGTTGATTGAGAGTAGGTTCAGGCTAGACATCAGGAGGCACTACTTCACAGTCATGGTGGCTAGGATCTGGAACCAAGTTCCAAGGGAAGTGGTGCTCGCTCCTACCTTGGGGGTCTTTAAAAGGAGGCTAGATAATCACCTAGCTGGGGTCATTTGATCCCAGCATTCATTCTTGCCCATGGCGGGGGGGTGGACTTATGATCTGCTCAGGTCCCTTCCAACCCTAACAACTGTGGAACTAAGATGGGATTATCTGCACAAAGAAGGAACAACTGGAGAAAGAAGGTCTATGATTACAAGGAAGGTGCAAACGTTTGTGATTCATAAAATAACCATCTGGCTGTCACCAGAGTGGATCCCAAGAAAAGAAGGGTGAGCTGTGTCTGCCAAAAGCAATGAAGACCTGACACTGAAAAGAAACATCATGAGAATGGGGGGGAAAAAATTCCATTGATTTTTTTTTTGTCCTTAATGTCAAGACAAAAGACAATGCCAGATTCCCACTAGAATGGATAAAGGACAACTATATGTGTGGGGAGCCTCAGGTATTTTTGCATGGGTCTCTTTTAGACCCTAGGAAAGGACAGCAAAGATATGACAAATAAACCAAGATTGACAGTTGGTTCATAGGCTATTGCCATGAAGAACACTGTAGATGCTTTTCCACTGGGAAAAGCAATTCTTCCTGGCAGATGGACTCTACCCAGGAGTCTGACAAGGTACTGGTAGTTTTCTGAGATTGTGGTTGACAAGACTGATGAAAGCTTTCTATTAAAAAAATGAGGCCGGAAGAGGAGGGTGCAATATGAAGAGAAATAAAACATCTGGTTATAATACACAGGAAGAGGAAAATAAGTAAATGAGGACTCAGCATGGGGGAAGATATGCCAACCTATAGGAGTATAGACAGTAAAGGAAAGAAATACTGGCATTGAAGAAAGCAGCTGTCAGTCACTCAGATGATACAGTTACTGAAAGAACTGTA